AACCAATCAGATTAATAGAAATTAATAAACACATGATCTGTAACCAATCAAACCACTAAAATTTTCGGCATTGATTTCATTTAATGTCACGTGTTTTCGAAATTTTTCCTCTGTGCTGAGTTACGGGTGCGGGAAAACTTTTGTCGGGCACTGTATTAGCCTGCCAACCGAAAAATTTTTAAACAAACTTTTACTTTTAACATTTTATTTGATCAAACTTTATAAAGAATTCGATTAGGTAGTTATCAAGAACTCCTCAAAAGTTGATAGATATACATAGACGTTCCTTGAATTTTATTAAGCAACACTGTGAAGAATTGATTCATTCGTCACTTCTTTGTAATTAAACGGCACAACACACCTTTGCCGTATTTATTCATATATCATTTATATAGACATGTAATTGTTGGTCGGTATAATGTATTGACCACAACCTCAGTAATTAGATTTTGTACCTTAACATTCATATCTTTAAATATTAGGTAGAAAGTTTGTACAGTTACGATCTATTATCCTTACATTAAAATAGACAGATATGAAACAGAAAACATAATATAAAAATTTTAGATCAATGATAATGAACGATTTTCCTAATTGTCCTTTTATGTCCTTAAATCAATTCAGCATCTTCCAAGAAGCGATATTCAAACCTAACGAGACAGCAAGTGAATCAGAGAAAGCTTACTTAAGATGTGTGACTATTTGGTTTAATATGCGTACCTAAACTCTGTCTTTTTACGCTGACACCATGCACCTTCGTAATCGAAATATATATATGTACCTTGCTCGTATTCATCTGTTATGGCTTTTGGTTCTTCATGCCTTTGAAACCATGTTAAGTATTTCTTATGAAATCTCCAAGACTGTTTTTTTAACTCTCTGGCGGCAAGATATCTATAATGTATCACCACAAAACGGAAAGGCGTTCAGTTACAAGATCGCTTATGACCAACATTTAAGTGTCTAAATTATAAATCACCACACGTACTGTTGATATGTCCCTTGCTGATAATAGAATATGAAAAATAGTGTGTCGATGTCGAATTTCTCGAATAATGCGGGGTTATCAAATATTGGTGGCGGAGTTTGTGGATAATAAGAGGATGTGTGGTAAGGATTTCTTGGTACATAGTGTTTTGGTCTATGGTTTGTTGAATCGCACTGTGAGCATATAGCATAATTCTAGTATTGAATGTTTTCAACAAAATTTGTTATAATACCTTTCGGCATCTATGCTTTCTGGAACGTATTGAAGACTTGCATCCAGCATTTGTTGGATATGAAAACCATCTTCTTTACCTAGGACTACATAAAAGTAATAAATTAAGAACCAATAGTAATATATTTAGTAATATTTATATATCCAGAAAATAAGTTTCAAAATTGAAATAATATAAAAGCGTGATATGGTACCCCGCTGCTTACATTTCTCTTCAGCAGCTTCGTATGACTGTACGAGATCTGCAAGCGCTGTTGGGATACGATTTTCCGAGGGTTCATGCTGGGAAGGCCCTTCTTTCTTATTTTGTTCTGATAAATTCGTGTCTAATGGCTGTTGTAGAAAAAAAGTTTTTTATTTTTATTTTTTAAATGATTATAAAGATTATAAAATAATTGTTGAATTAAATTGAATTAATTATGATGCGTACTGATGAATGAGTAGGCGCCGATGCTTGCACAGAAGGAATTTCTCGAGTTTGTGGCTGTTCTTGTGGGGGTAAAGGATTATCACGCTGCTGACTTATAGGTTGCGATGGTGGTAATGGTAATTGAGGTTGTTTTTGCTATAATTTCATAAATAGAAATACGTTATTCGTTAAAAATTGGAACAAGTTCTAATTAATATTTATACTGATTGATGTAATGTATTTCTAAAATAAGAACCTGGACATCATTCGACTGCAAAAAATTCTGCCGATTAGCATCATCAGAATCATTCGGAGTATCTATTTTATCAAAATTGTAAAACAACAGTAATATAAATATAATATATATATATTTAAAATTTCAAACCTTTCTTGATATCAGCCGGCGATGCAGGGACGTGTGGTTGTATCGTTTGCGTTGATTGTTGAGATTGTGGCTGCGATTGCGATTGGAATTG